GCAAAAAGTCAGCTAATCAGTCACAACCCCAGCTCCCTGACACAGACCTGATATCTGGTAAATCTGCAGATATTAGTGGGCCTCTGCATCTGGCAGCTCTCTACAGTCTCTCCTTGGAGTCTGGAGAACCCAGACATGGCTGAGACCTTAAGGGACAGTTCTTAGGTTTCCATCTTTCCTATCATTACTTGTTCTCCATTTCCATCTCCACTTTGCTTCTTGTCCCCAAAAAGCTTCTTAAAAACTAATAAACACTAGGGATCAATGTATTTTTCCCTCCTACAGAAAGTTGTATTTAAATGTGACTGATATGTAGAATGAGGGTCAAAGTTTTTAAGGTAGACCTTTTTAGTGGATGTTTTTTCCTTCCTTCCTTCCTTCCTTCCTTCCTTCCTTCCTTCCTTCCTTTCTTTCTTTCTTTCTTTCTTTCTTTCTTTCTTTCTTTCTTTCTTTCTTTCCTTCTTTCTTCTTTTTTAAGACAGGGTCCCCAGCCAGCCTGGAACTCACTATGTAGACCAGGCTGACCTGGATCTCACAGAGATATGCCTGTCTCTGCCTCCTGAGTGCTGGGATTAAAGGTGTGTGCCACACTGCCTAGTGTTAGATTCTTTTACTTTTAATTGATACAGTAATTACACATTTTGGGGAGTAGAGTGTGATGTTACGATACACACATGATGTGTAATTGTAAGATCAGGGTCAATAGTATATCTACATCTCAGAGTTTGTCCCGAGAATATTCATGATACTTTCTTCTAGCTATTTTGAAATAGCCAACCAATTGTCAAATAATTATCTCACTGTGCTACAAATGAATGAAAAGTTACTCCTCCCATCTGACTCTACCCTTATACCTGTTAACCTTCCTTTCTCTATTCCCCAAAGTGATTTAAAATATGTACAGAAAGAGAGAATGAGAGAGAGAGACCATGTTGACATAGTTCAAATTAGTCAACCTGGGCAGTCTTTGATTGATTCTTTTAAAGAATAGGTCAATGGCTGCTCATATCTTAATAAACTTTAAAATAACTTTACTATTCACTGACCTTATCTTCTTCCTGAAATTCTGGAAGTCCATTTATTCCTTGATCCAAACAGCAAACCCCATTTTCTTTACTTTGACAGCAGCCAGAATTCTAACGATTAAAAAAAAAAAATCAGAATACCATGGTGAATCTATTGTTAACTAAACTGGGTGCCTATAGTTGAAACATCGAAACATAGAACCAATATTATAAGATATCGTAAAAGAAAATCAATTATATTTCAATGTATCCAAGATAACTAATGAAAAACAAAGCTTATAAGAAATGTTGAATACTAGTGTTCTACTTTATTTCTCCATTGCTATGACAAAACACTCTGACCACCAACTTGGGGAGGAAATGGTTTATTTGTCTTACATCTCCCAGGTTACAGTTCATCAGGGAGCCCAAGGTAGGAACTCAGGGCAGGAACCTGGAGGCAGGAGCTGGAGCACAGGCCATGGAGGAACTCTGCTTACTGGCTTACTCCTCTGGCCCCTGCTCAACCGCTTTCTTATACAACACAGGCCCACCTGCCCAGGGATGGCACCACCTACAGTGGGCTGGGCCCTCTCACATCACTCAACAATCAAGAAGATGCCCCACAGACATGGCAACAGGCCAGTCCAATGGAGGAAATTCCCCAATTGAGGCTCCCTCAACCCAGGTGTGTCAAGTGGACACTAAAGCTGTCCAGCACAACTGGTAATTATTAAAGGTTATAGGGGTCTTAATAACTAAGCCTGGCATGTAGCAATAAACACTATTCATGTCAGTTATCAATATTAATATTTTAAATACAAACAATAAATATTAGCAAGATTAGTATACCAGTCAGTCTGTTCTTATTTATGACATATTGCTTTCATAGTTTAATTTCCAGAAGTGATTCTCCTGGTGATAGGGGAGTATTAACCATGTCTTAATAAGTATGAAAATACCATAAGGAGGCCTGTTCTTTTGTATGCTAATTTTAAAATAAAGTTCAAAACAAAAATTTTCTTTCAAGTTTTTGTTTATTAGTTCATTCAACAAATATTGATTGAGTAGCTACTAACTGGTGCATGGTGACCCAGCCCTGGAGATGGACAGCCTCCATGGTCAAGCAGCCCAGTCCATGGACAATTGTAACATATTGTGATCAATGCTATGCTGGGGTGCTCCATAGAAGGCTACAGAGGAACCCAGGCAAACAGGTTGGGAGCAACCTCTTGGAAGGAATGGCTTGAGGCCAATGTTAAAATGTGTGGGTGTTCACAATTTGGCTATCAGGCAAGCACAATGAGGTTAAGGCTCCTGCTTAAGGTCAAATAACAAATAGAAATTGTAGACCTTGAGATAAGAAGGGCCCTGTAATAGAAATAATCCCATCTGACAGCCCCAACTGCTTCGTTTCATTGGGGAAAAATATATTCAACCGTGAATTCATTTCCACTTACTTTACAGAAAGTCTTGCATGCATCAATTATTGGCCTGTATCCAGTGCAGCGGCATAGGTTCCCTGGAGAAAGGAGAAAAACCCAGCTTGGTTACCGCAGTGACCCGAGTAAAGGCATGGACTACAAATGAGTGATGGGATGAACCACATCTTAGATGAAAGCTCTGTTTAACATCTTATTTTTGAGTTTTATGTTTGAAATCTTATTTTTACATTAGCATCTTGGGATATTTAGTCAAAAATCCTGAGGTATATTTTAACAGCTGTTATCTGTACTTCTCTCTGTAAGCAAAATTTATACTTTCTTCTTGTGATAAATGGTCAAATGGCACAATGATTTTAAGATAAAAACTTGGTCCATATTCGCATTCAAGAGCTATACTTGCCTTAAAAAGAAAGCAACAGCCACTTTATTGAGATACTATTGACATACAAAAAGTCTTACATGTTTAATGTATATAACTTGATATGTTTGGAAATAAGTGCACACCTGGGAATCTATCCCTACAGTCAATGCCATGAACATGCCTGTTTCCTCATGTCATTTATTTATTTAGTCATTTATTCACTGGCCAGGGCATTTAACAAAAGATCTACCCTCGCAGCAAATGTTTAAATATATAATATAGTATTGATAGCTATGGAACCATGTTGTGCTTAACAGACTTATTCATTCTGCACAACAAACTTTGCAACCTTTGACCAATATTTCATTTTCTCCTTCCCTAGCCCCAATCACTATTCTATTACTATCCTGTTCTAGGCTTCTACAAATTTGACTATTTCAGGTTCCTAATATAAATTGGATAATACAGTATTTTCTAGTCCAGATCTGACTTATTTCACTTGGCATCATGTCCTAGGGTACACATATATGTTGTTCTAAATGGCAAGAGTTTATTTTTTAAGAAAAACCCCCTAATTATTAATTCTTATGGTGGCAGTTATGAATTTATTTCAGAGGCACAGGCAGAGGAAGGAAAGGAGGGAAGGAAAGACAGAGACAGAGAGAGAAGCTTCAGTTGATAGAACAAAGGTGTTCTGATCAAAGGAAAGGTGGTTGTTACTAGACTTTGGAAACAATTAGGCACACAATGTATTTACAATAAATGATCAGGCCAGTATTTCTGTCACTGCGATTCTATGTTCTTCCTCCACCACCAATCTGAGGTCATATTTTGTGTGTGTGTGGTCTATATACATGTTCCTGTGAGTGGGGGTGAATGCATGTGCATATGTTTGCACATGCCTGTGGTAGGTAGAAGTCAACATTGGGTGTCCGCCTTGATTGTTCTCCATCTTATTTTTTATATTTTATTTATTATTTTTATTTTATGTGCATGAGTGTTATGCCTGCATGTATGTAAGTGCACACGTGTCGTGCAATGTCCAAGGAGGTCAGAAGAGAGTGTTGGATCCCCTGGAGTTAAGACAGTTAAGACAGTTGTTAGCTGCTGTGTGGGTGCTGGGAATAGAACCCAGGTCCTCTGCAAGGGCAGCCAGTGCTCTTAACCTCTGAGCCATCTCTCCAGCCCCTCCACCTTGTTTTTTGATACAGGGTCTCTCACTGAATGTGGGGTTCATTGTGTCTACTAGGTTGGCTGGCAAATGAACACCAGGAATCCTCCTGCCTCTGCTTCCTATACTCCTTTGCCCCACCACTGGGGTTATAGGCACATACCCCGACTCCCAGATTTTTGCATGGGGCTGGGATATGAACTCAGGGCCTCATGCTTGCATGGCAGACACTTTACCAACTGAGCCATTTCCCTAGCTCTTGATGTTTTATTTTTAAAACAGTACAGAATCATGTTCTCTAGTGGTTGGTTTCCCCAAAATCTTCATTATTTATAATTTTCTCAAGCATATCTTAAGTATCCTAAAATTTGAGTCCCATTGTCACTTGTTTAAATCATGAACAACCATGAAATGAAGCTCATGAGGAGACCTACAGGAACTCAGGAATACATAGTTTAGGTGCAATGTCTCTCCTTTCTACTTTTGTTTGCTCTGAGTTTCCCTGAAACATTTTGTAGAAGAAGTGTATTCAAGAGCTTCAGACTCATGTTTCCTGAGCAGAGAAATAAGAGGCAAGAGACAAAGAAAAACAGAGCCAGGAGAGTTTCGTAAGACATAGGTTTGAGAGGCTAAGTAAAATCCCAATGCCAGGAATGGACTCCCTCTTTTGAAGCTGTTAATCAGGGGTCTCATAGACCTTCAAACAATACCAGCCATTGCTCTTGCTCTTGGTTACTCACCAGAACTTCACAATAAGACCCTATTGCTGAAGATACTAAACACGTGAACTGTAGAACAACCAAGTAGAAATCAAGTTGGTGCTGAATTCAAAACTTCATCTCTACTGGCTAGTGTTCATAGTGCTGGAAGGTGCTATGCAGACTACCAGAAGAGAAAATTTCATAATGCTGGAAGGCTCTACACATGCTACCAGAAGATAAAGTTAATCAACCTTTCCCAGCTGTGAATCCTGCAAGCTATAAAAACAGGCCTGGCAAGACATGCACAATGCTATAATTGTAGCACAAATACTATGGGAGCAACCTATCGCTTTGTAATTAGATTTAAGGTCCACTTCACAAAATGGAGCCCATGCCTCACATTGATACCAGGCCTAAGAGCCTGGAGCTAAGCAGGTCACAGGCCATAATGGAGACACTAATACTATCATTATCCTAAATAGATATAATATTAAACCAACTCCTAATACCTTATTATGCCAATAGATTAATGCATTTCTCATCTCCCACTGGAAAAGCTCCCTTATGCAGCAGATAGTGATTAACACAGAAACCCACAACTAGCCAATGTGCACTGAATAAGAGACTGCAGAGTGATTATCACTGAACAGGACACCTATATCAAACTCTTGCTTCCTAAAGTTTAGGGGTCATAGCAGAAGAGGGAAAATAAAGACTGCAAGAGCCAGAGGTGGTGGATGACCACAAGGAAATAGAGGCTTCCAGGCCACTGGGAATTTACTCATATGAACTCACAGCACTGGTGACAGCACGCGCAAGTCCTATACAAGCTCAAACCAGACAAAATCCCAGCACAGACATGGAGAAGTGGGTAAGAAATCCCAATCCTACCCAAGGAACTATTGGTAACCCATGGCTGCTGGAAGGGGGGAGAGTCACTCTTACAGGTATGACTCTTGGTAATTTAAACAGGCTCTAGTGAATAGACCCAAACCAAAGGGCATTTGGGGACACAAATAACAGAGTACATGAAATTGGGCAGAGGTATTAAGGGGAGGGTGCAAATAGGGAAGGGAATCAAAACATGACCAAAACATATTGAATGAAATTCACAAGAATTCAATAAAAAAGGGAAAAAATTAAATAGAAGTAAGCCAAAGTGGGGATGGGCAAGGCAAATGACCAATAAACAAAGAAAAAAATGGTTTAGAGTCTCACTGATGAAGAGAGAGAGAGAGAGAGAGAGAGAGAGAGAGAGAGAGAGAGAACGTGCTTGAAGTTGGTAAGATACCTAGAGTGGAAAAAAATCATTAAAATAAGTATCACCAGATGATTTCAGCTGATTTCAGTCAGCTGTGCAACCCCCTTATCCCTTTTGTGTTTTCCCCTCTATTTAAACCTAAATCCCATGTCAGTGCCCTGGAAGACAGGATTATGATACATTTTCTCACCCTTCTTTTCCCAGTATGATCAAGATGAAAATGTAATTCCTTTCACTGTTACTTTTTTCTTTTGATTTCTAGGATGAGTGCCAGGATTTGGTTTGCTGGGGGCCTCAGAGTGAGACCTCTAGCCTAGTACTCCAGTAACACACTCCTTCCAACAGGAAAGAGTGGTGAAATACAACAAGCAGACAAACCTGGTATCTTTTCCAGGGCAAATGGATAATCTATCATTTTGATGATTATGGAAAACAAGGAAACAATAAAAAAGAGAGGAAAACTTATAGATTAACAGACTTAAGCAGTACATCTGGCAAATGCAGTATGTGGATCTGGGTTGATGGTGGATTTCAAGAAGTCAGCTCTTCTACATGTAGGTGGAATCATTTTAAACGAGTCACTCTCTCTAAACCTCAGTTGTTCCATCTATGATAGGAAGATAATAATGGTGACCATCCTATAAAGTTACCTAAAGTAATTCAAGTAGGATTTACTTCAGCATATAGCTTACGGTAGGCATCCAATTTTAGCCATCATCATCACTTAAAAATAAGAACATACTTACCACTGAGGGCATCAGTTAACTGATCCAGAGTGGGCTCTGGGTGGTTCCTGAGCAGTGCATACATGGACATCACCATCCCAGGGGTGCAGAATCCACACTGGGTACCATGACACTTAGCAATCCTCTCCTAGAAGCACAAAAAGGTTAGGAATGCAGGCCCCGAACACGGTTCCAGGCCTATCGATACAGAGCAACATCTCCAGGAGATTCTTGTGCTCATTGAAGTCGAAGAGGCTCCTGAAAACCTTCATCTCTGGTACCTCCCTTTGGGCCAGGCTATCTGACTACTGTGCCACATCAACTCTTAAGCTTCATTTAAGGCAGTTTTTTTTAGCCTTTGGACTCCCCAGGGGAACTTACAAACTTCAAGGTCTCAGCAGGATCCTAGATCAACTAACTTAGAGTGTCTGGGGGTAAGGCATGGTTGTACATCTTCTAAAGATGCCTCAGTTGCCTTGCTGTGCGGTGAGGGTGTAAATCACTGTGCTAGAGGAAGTCCTTCAGAGAACCAAAGTGAAAAACATGGGGGGAAAAAACCTCACAGTATTTCATGATTTCTTTGGTCTTCCCACAATTGTATTAATGCTCTAGCAGGGGGGGGGTTTACAAAGCACCATCTTTAACCTGGAAATCAATCAAAAAGGAAACATCGCCTTTATTTCTTCCACGTCTTTCCTGTTCTCATCATTTTCTCTTGGGAGTCTGTCTTCTAAGGGACAAGTCCACTTTGGCGGCTGTCTTCTGGCAACACTGAACCAAAGGGAGCTCAGCATGAGTTGAAAATGAGAGTCCCTCTGCCTGTGTGGGGTCCAGTCTCAGAGGGTGTCCAGGCGAAATTCTCTCCCTTTAGCTTAACAAGGTTTCAAAACGTTAATCAGAGCCCAAGATTTCTTCATGTCTACAGAATCTGAAGTTTGACCATTTTCTGTGTGGCTACTATCTTGTCCTCTTATACTCACTCCTCATAAATGACCCTCGATAACTAGATCAAGGCATGTAGCAATAGCATTTGGGGATCTAGCTGCACACAATGAAAGGAGTGCAGGTCTGTAGTGCCCTTTCCCTGGTCACTGGAAGCAACAGCTCTAGAAGACATTGCTCCAGGAGAAGCTGCAGACTCCATGGACAAAAACTGTCCTCTGCACAGTCCAAGCTTAACACATATTTTTGGTGACTGATATTTTCAATTCATCTTTCCAAATCAAGTTATGTTCCACTTTTCCAAAACAACTAACCAAGAAAACTGTTATCTGTGAATGCACATGACTGGTGTTTTCTTTTGAGTTCAGAAGAAACAAGATGCCTAGGTTCCATCTAATAAGAACATAAAGAAAACAAACTTGGTCATGTCAACATCTCCTTAAAAAGGGGGGAAGTCGTCTAGTGTTCCAAAAACATCTCCTCAAGAAACAAGTCACAAAAAACTCACAAAGCCCAGCATCCTGGGTTCACTGTCAGCTCCAGTTGAGTTTTAAATATTATTAGTGACCAAGTAGCAGGGTCAATAGTTTCTACTTTCTGAGTGTCAGGGACTCATAATGCCTCAATGGTATAAAACACAGATTCCCACTGAAGGAGTAGTGTGCCCTCACCTGGACAGGATGAAGTCTGGTCTTGGTGCTTCCTATGCCTTCTACTGTGGTGATGGCTGTACCATACAGAGAGCAGATAGGGGTCAGGCAGGCATTGACTGGATGGTGTCTTCAGAATACAAAGGAGAAGCACAAATTACAAAGTACATCATGTCCAGTGGAAGAGGGGCCAAGAACCTCCAGTAGACAGGTTTTGAGTGACATCCCCAGGCTCTGTCTCTGCATTTCATCCTTAGCTCAGACTCATTTTACAGAAATAGATACTGAGGATCAGAGTGATTTCTTCAGGGTCACAGCTGGAGTGCCAATGGCAGGATTAAAATTAGACCTCATTATTCCAGTTCCAGAACAGTTTCAACCAGCTTCACTATTTTCCTTTCAAAAAGGGACTGATATCCTCTAATTGACTGTAACTAGCCACATGTCTACAGCTTCTTTCATTTTCCAGGCAGAGCTGGGCTAAGGCTTGGTTGGGTAATGGACTGAATTTGATATTGCTCCTCAAAAGAAGAGTGCCAGATATAGAGCTACTGGATCCCACAAAATCACCGGAGAAAGTGTGCAAAGTGATTTCTAGAATGTTCTCATGTACTAAACACAACTACAGATGGCCAATGAATACATGAGGCAAATGTCCAAATCTCAGGAAATAACCAGGAAAGATTCAAATCAAGCAACAATTTTTATTAAATAAAATATTTGTTTTAAAAAATGATAATGTCTAAGGAGAGAAGGAGACAGAGGGAGGCCAGTGAGAGCAAAGCACAGTGATTGTGGAAAAAGAGCACCACCTGTAGCTAGAGGCAAGCAGAGCCCAGGTACGCAGGGGCAAGGCTTCCCAGTGAAGGTGAGTTTGAACACAGGCCCAAATGCACCTGACCCACACTTTGGATGTATCAAATCACGAGACCATTATTCCTGTTTTGAAACCAAAATAAGCCATAAAACTACAAAAATCATATTTTAAATATCCATCTCAGCATCCCTGATGGCTGCCAGGGAGGGAGAGTCAGTTTTCTTTAGGGGTATGGTACCTGGTAGGTCGACCATGCTCCACTGAATTGCCCCACACCCATGAGCGTATGGGTAGCACAAACTGGACTCAGCGGATTATTTTTTTTTAAATACATGAATTGAGAGGAGGTCAGGGAGTGGGAGATGGTTCTGGGAGGACTTAGGGAAAGGAATGGGGGGTACGAATATGCTCAAAATACCTTGTATGCGTATATGAAATTCTCAAAGAATTCATAAAAATATAATATTATAAAAAAATTCATCCCATACTGAATACACAAAGAAGTTTAGAAAAACTGAACTCCATTAAGCGACCAGCCCCCTAAGAGAGAATCTTCTCTGTATTTGATTCTTTACATTAATAGTTGCTCTCATCCTAAGATGTGGTTGTTCCACTTCTGAAATGTAAGGAAAAAGAAGAGTGTGCCCTTCACAGGAATAAGGAGAAACCAGACTGTCTGCCAGCAAACCATGAATGGTCCAATGTGGGTAGATATGATGAGTTAAAATACAAAGTCAACTACTCCACCTGTGTGCACTGGGTGATAGGGGTGGTGGGGGCAGTGTCACAAAATGGAGGAGAGGAAGGAGCTGGAAGAAATCCTCCAGGCACACAGGCTCTGTAACAAAGAAGATCAGGGAGGAACAGAACTGGGAAAAAGCTCTAGACTTTGTCGGAGTTAAAGTTATCATTACCCTTTAGGACTAAAGATAAAGCAATATGGCTGACAAAGATTTCTTGACACAAAGAAGATAGGAAAGGAAAGAGCTTCCAGTACCCTAAAAGCCTGGCAGCAGGGCATCAAGCATGGGGAATGGGGAAGGGGGAAAGTTGTTTAACACAGTCGTGAGTGGAGTCCCAGAGGGAGCGGGGAGAGCCTGGCACAGGTAAGTGTGTGATGAGATAAAGGCTTGAGAAGATGCCAAAGCTGACAGACAATGGATGAACACAAGAAACCTGGAAGGATAAACACCAAACATAAAGAGATGCTAACATAACAGGAAAGCACTGGTGGTTTTAAGGAGGAGAGTGAAATGATCTAATCCATCCTTGAAACAGCTGTCTGCTTATGGATGGAGAATGCAGGCATAGGAGTAAGGAGATGACTTGGCAGGCCCAGACTGTGGGACAAGGGCTTTGTCCTCCACTGCTGTCTCAGCCCAGCCTTTCCTCCCCAGGCAGCACAGGGAGGCAGAGAGCCTGTCAGCTTCTGACAGGTGATTTTTTTGACCATCTGCTATCTTCTCCAGAAGTACATTTTTTTTTCTAATCTATTCATATTGTTGCTCATCATGGGATCTTGTGAGCTTAGCATAGTTCCTTCTACACAGTAAATGCTCAACATACATTTACCAAGATATAAAACCAAGTTCAGAGCTATAAAAGTTCCATCCTAGCTAGACTTTGTGGCAAGGTACCTGATTTTCTTGGTGCTGGGGTTATATCGTGAGATCATCACCGTGCAGGCACCACAGCCTCCTCCGCCACAGCCGTACTTAGTTCCTGTGAGCCGGACTGGAAAGAGCTGAGTTAAAGATACTGTGTTTCATAATTTTTTTTCTAGAATAGCCTTGATCTTAGAAACCAACATCACCAGACTCTTGCAAGCATAGGTAAGTTCAATGTGTAATTATCGAATGACACGAATGTCTTCGCTGCTATTTTAATCTGTGACTTCTTGCTTCCTTCTTGTATGCTATAACTTGTAAGAAGCTGGACCTCAGGCTGCCAAAAATCGGGCCAGAAGAAGAAAGAGCCTGCACATGTTAAGTATTTGAGCATTTTCAGGTTATGAGTTATTTGTTTTCATCCTTTATGGATGGGACTTTCTAATAATGTGTACGGTAAAAATGACATGCATAGTAAAAACGTTAATTGTAGAAATTGTGGATTATTTGTGTCACACTAGCTACATGGTATGTCATAGTATGTCATTTGTCTTTCATTGGCAGAAACTCTCTAGTAGTCTCAAATTTTAGTCACAGATAGAGTTGCCCAGAGTAGAAAACACATGTTTCCAGCTTCCTTTGTCACCTGGTGGTGACAATGCATTAACAATGCTGACCAAGGGGATGCAAATATAAATATGCAAATATAAATATTACATATGGACTTCCTCAAAAGGACAGAGAGGCCCCTTTCCTTGTTTATTGCTTCTGTCAGTTTGCTGAAACTCCAGTATAGTGGTTGGACTTCACTCAAGGCATCTATGAGGTGAAAGCCGTGTGCTTGAGCAGGGTGGAGAAAGAAGCCATGAAGGAAGGTGCCCGGATGTGATGGTTGGTGCCTTGTATCCTAACAGTCCTCCAATCCTTCTCTGGCTTTCTTCTGTCTCCTTTCACACCGACATCTCTTCCTAACAAAATGCTCTCATGCCTTACTCTATTTTTTGAGGTCTGCATCCTGAAGAATCTAAACAAGCCCCAGCCCACTGAGACAAAAATAAAGTTCCATTTTCTATCCTGTTTACAACTCCAGGTTTTCGTCACTCACAGTCAACAAAACTCTGAAGATGGCTACACATAGGTACTGTAGCTGATCAGAAAGTAAGTATTCATTGCTCTTATGATCAAAGACCTTAAATAGCTTTTTGGCCCATACTCAGGTGTCTGAAAAGTAGTTACTGATGCTTTGCAATTCTGTGCTGTTTCTAGGCATTTCATCATCCCCAATGGGAAAACCATACCCACTCCAATTGCCACATCATTTTGCATATAATGTGGTGGAAGTGCCAGCCTCTGAAGCCACTGGAGCTCATGCACAGCAGGCTGAGATAAGGCAAGGCTCATACTTTCATATGTAGCATCTCCATCTTTCATTTACTTTCAGGGCATTTCCGTGTTTTCTTTCTCTAACAGCATGAAGATTAGCCATTGAAGACAATCTTATACTCTAAATTCCAAAGGACGCTTAATTAATGCTTTTTAACATCCATCATTTAAATTCCCCTTGCTCATTTCTCAATTTTGCACCCAAAAACTGATTCTTTTAAACAGTGATTAAAAGAACAAACACACAAACACATTGCACACACAACCACAGGCTCACTCTCGTACATTCATACATTTACAATTCATGCATTCACTCAAACACACATACCTACAACCACAAACACACATCACTCACACATAAACTCACACCCATACACACACATGCACACGCCAGAAGAAACAGTCACACTCACATAACACACACACACACACATACATGTTCACAGAATCACTCAAATGCATTCACACATGCAAATCCACAGTCACATAGACTCAGACACTCAAACACTCAGACACACTCATGCATAAACACACACACATTCACACATATCTACACTCTCAAAAACTCTTGCACTCACACACACTCATACATCTTCTCTCACAAACACACACAGGCTCATACATATACCCAACACACTCAGACATACATTTATATTCACATACACTTACATACATGCATGCATTCACATACACTCTCAAACACACTCGTACAGGCACATACAAAACACACACTCATTCACACACACAATACTCAAACACAACATCATGTCCAAACACACACTCATACACAAACATAGTCATACATTCACAAATACACTAATATATAAATACACTCATACAGTTTCACAAACTCACACTCAAACACAAGTATACAGTCATATTCTTACATGCACTCATACACTCAAACATTATACTGACTTCCAGACTCACACACAAACTCATGCACAAACATGTACACACTTTCACACTCTCACACACACGCACTGACTTACATACACAAACTTACATGCTCAAACACACTCACACTTGACGCACAGCAAAGGATACGATTCTTCCTCAGATATGGTAACAGCATTGTTTCAGGATCAACATTTTTTTCTATCACCTATACAAGAGAAAAAAATAGTCATGCATACAAAAATGAGAGAGTTTGTGTGATGTTCACATTGGTAGGGTGTTGCTAATTTAAGAGAAATGCACACAAATAACATGCTACTCGTGGTTACCCACTGATTTCACATTTATGGAACACCTGTGATACACAAATATCATTCAAGTTCAAGTCTAAATCTCTAGCCCCCACTGTCCTCTATCCTGAATCACATCACTGTTCTCTAAGGAGGTGGTTGTTTTCACTCACAGGAATGCTAGTGACTCTTCCCAGCTTCTCCTAGAAAAACACTAGTGGAACAGAATAGGTCAGTTTGGGTGGGGGGAGGGAGAAAGACAGAAATAGAGAGAGAAGTTGCTGGTGCTGCAAAGCTTCTGAGAAGTTGATACAGCTAACCTCAAAGGCTTGCTGTTTACCAAGTAAATGGAGCCCACAGCCAGCCATGGCCCCAAACTTCCAAACTAAAGCAACAACTATGTGTGCCAAGTAATACAAGGCTGTGGGGCCAGGAACACTTAAGCAAGTGGGCTGGCAGCACAGCCCAGAGCAGCTGCATAGAAGGGAGCAGAACTGAAACATCACGGGGCGCTCACAGTTCCCAGGGGATCTTGTCTTCTCTATTTTGATTAGATTGGTGTTTTAAGTTAGCATATAAAACAATGGTTTAATGGCATTTGTGCTTTGTTTCTATTCATCCCCCCTCCTCACAACCTGATCATCCAGCCTGACTCTCAACCTCACCCTCTGTCAAGTCTTCAACATTTTAAAACCTGGGTCATTTCTTACTTTTTCTTTCAACCCACTGCAAACAGTGTCACCAACTTCTGCTATCTCTCCTTCCCCAAGTGATTCTCTGCCTCACTCTGTCACCTGCAAGTCTGCCTGTGGGAGTAACTGCTCTAAAATATCAATCTGATCATCCCGTGTGTCATCCATGCTGGGAATTCTAGAATGAGCTTGGCGCTTGCTAAAATACCTTCTTGCCCATTCAAGAATCAGGATTTCTAGAAGAAACCAAAAAAAAAAAAAAAATGTGCAGTTCTCATGAGCCTGCTGAGTGGACCTTAGGTGAATTTAAACCAGAATCCCTGGAGTTCACAAACTTTAAACTTCCCCTTTACTGCCTGCCAGTTTACCTCCTGCCAACTGACTTACGCCACTTGAACTCAGGTCCCATGGGGGAACTGGCCAGTCCCAGCAGTACATGAACTTTTAACTTCCAGTATATTTGTATTCAGGGTTCCTTTCATCTAGAAAGTGGACCTTAGGTGAATTTAAACCAGAATCCCTGGAGTTCACAAACTTTAAACTTCCCCTTTACTGCCTGCCAGTTTACCTCCTGCCAACTGACTTACGCCACTTGAACTCAGGTCCCATGGGGGAACTGGCCAGTCCCAGCAGTACATGAACTTTTAACTTCCAGTATATTTGTATTCAGGGTTCCTTTCATCTAGAAAGTTCTCCTAACCTCTACTTGGCATTGCCTGTCACTCAGTGGCTTCAAATATTCTCTGAGAGTGCTGCCAACTTCTGCACTCCAGCCTCTACATAAACACTGTAATCCGTGTTCTCCTGGCCAACGTTCTCAGCTTTGTATGGCACTTGTTACTCCACACAAGTACTTTTAAAGGAGAACCCCCATCTTCTGTTAGTGTTTGTTTCAAACACAGAGCTCACTGCTGGAGATAATAGGTAGAAAAGAAATATCAACTAATAAAATGAATAACTCGAGCACTTTTGCAAAGAGAAGTCCAAGGAAAGTAGAGGATTTGGTAACCTGGTGGCTGTCTTTTCCAGCATGACCAAATGACTAGAATTCTAGCAGTCATCTTAGAGCATGAGGCAACACATAAATGACAACAGAGGAAAAAGAAGGAACCTGGATCACAGATAACACCAGAAGCTTCTGGATCTTTACCATTCCTAACCCCACAGGCACTTCCTAGCAAGGAAAAATGGCTATGAATTTTAAGCTTATGCCATTGTGTTCATACACATGGTGGATGCACAGATACTAAGTTTAAATGGAGAAACAGTGTGAGTAGCCTAGACAGTAAAGAACAGCATATTGGGCTTAAGGGAGATTCATATATTTTAGGAAGAAAGGAAAGGAACAATTCTTGTTTTTGTTTGGAGAGGGGACGTCAGTTATTTGTTCCAATGGGTATTTCAGGAGATTAGAGTCTGGCTCAGGTGACATGTTTATTTTCTTGATTTGGTAGGTGGCATAAATATGGAGGAGGGAGGAGGGAAGAGGGATGGAGCAAGCATCCTGCCTAGAAGCTCTTAAAGGAAGCAGCAAGGTCAGCACTAAGATGGAAGCTGGGGTGTGGAGTAGAAGGGAACGGTTACTCTCATAGACTCTGATCCACAAAGACGACATGGCGGTCCTCACACAGAAGCAGAGGCACCATCAGTGCATGCACCCATCTCTGGATAGCCTTGGGGACCACGAGAGCAGAACCTGCACTCTGTTGTTCACCAGTCCCTTTGAGAGAGTCCGGGTTTACACTGCACAAGATCCCTGCAGATCAAAGAGGCATAGGAAGAAAGAAGATATAAAAGAAATACGGAAGAGAGAGGAAAGGGGGGAGGAACAGGAGAGAGTCAGGGAGGGTGAGAAGTAACAGCTTTGAGCTCCAGGCTTCACACCTCATGGGATGCTGTATTACCATTTCTAAGATGTATTCCATTTCTGAGATGTTTAGAAATTGATGTCTATGGTATAGTTGGTTCTGCACTCTTTCTCCCTTAAATTCCATGTTAAATGGGTCCCCGTTCTTCCGGGAAGATCCTAGGAACTCCAGGAAGACTTTGGAAATCACCCTGTAACTGGGTGATTGGTCTCTGACCAACTGACCCCGACCTTACTTCTAGAGGGCTTTAGTTCCTGCCTGGTGACACTCTTGAGATTTTTCAGAACGCACAGGCTAGAGGCCATCTGCATGTGGCACCAGAACATCCTGAAGGGCCTTAAGGATTCCTTTTGAAAGCAGGTTGGAGTCACAGAAGTCAGCTCAGGCTTTTAAGACACCTTTTCTCTCTGAGGGCTTCTCATCCTTCACCCCTTGAACCACAAAGTTATTATGATTCTATCCATATGTAGTTGGGCTTGCTTACCAGTGTTGAAACATGTGCTTTATGGAGCTTGAGAGGGACAAAAAGGTGAGGAAAGGCTGATGTGATTTTTTTTTTTTAATGGGATAATTTCAAAACTTAAACCAGTGGTGCTGTAGAGATGGCTCAGCAGTTAAGAGCCCTGGCTATTCTTACAGAGGACCCAGGTTTAGTTCCCAGCACCCACATGGCAGCTAACAACCATCCTAACGCCAGTTCCAGGGGAATCTGATGTCCTCTTCTGACCTCCTCGGGTATCACCCGACACGACAAGGGTGCACTTACAGACAAGCAGGCAATATACTCATACACATACAATACAAATGAACACATAAAAAAATTAAAAAACAAAACAAAACACTAAACCAGTATTTCTAGAGTATACTTTACAATGACCACAGAATATTTGGTCCCTAGATAAAGGGCACTGTAGCTAAGAAAGGGGTTATTTATTCTTAAAAACCAATAGAGCATAAGCTCATGTTATGATGTTAAAAAAAATCCCAACATTTTTTGGAAGTGGAAAAGGAGAGAAAATGAGAGGGAGAAAAGTCGGAGAAGATGCCAGACTCAGATGCCTGCTGCCTCACTCAACTGAACTCTTAGCACTGCCTACAGAACTGTGTCCTGGCCCGTGGCCACATCTCCAACCCTATCAATCTATACCCTAAGTGTATAAACATGTTCCTGTCCCCAGACCTCTGCACCTGGAATTTTCTGCCCAAAAGGTTCTTTCCACAAATGTCTGCTTGACTCCCTCCTACTTTATCCCAGACTGCTCAAGTGTCACCCAGTCTGGGAAGCCAAAACTCCCCCCTCATCTAACTCATTGGTTCCTGTCCACCTCTGTCACCTCACTTTGTTTTTATGCTAGCATCTATTACTGTCTGACACCATACTTTATTTATTTAAATGCTTGCTGGCTGTCTCCCCAGCACTGGGTTAACGCCCCTTTTTAGTAAAAGAATGAGCCTCTGAGAGTTGATCTCAGTGAGTTACAGCTCCAATGGAATCTTTGTTGTTTTAAATAACAACAGAACATTGTGCTTATGCTGTGCAGAACATTCTGTTAAGCAAAGGAAAACATGAAATAGTAAGGGCAAGCCTTCATCAGGTTAACCTAGTTCACCCTCGTGGTGGTCCTGTGGGGCCCTTGATCAGAAAACACAAATTCATCTTATCCCATGAGGAGTCCAGGAAGCAGGAGCTGGGGGAGTTTTCATGGTGCCAAGTAGAATTTAAGAGATCCTCTCCTCAAGAAAACATATTACAAAACCTTACTTGTAATAATTAAACCCAGGGCCTCAGAATAGACCTCACACCTGAGGAACCTGATGCCAAACCCTCAGCTTCCTGAAAGTCAGTCAGTTTCAGCCAGGGCAAGAGCTCTGGCTGTCCTTAGCCAGAAGCAGGGGCCACATTTGGCTCCAAACGGAGCAGCACTGGCACTGTGGAAAGCAGGTCACAAACCCCTTAACCATCTCACCTAGGTTTCCCCCTTCAGATGGGTATGAGTCTGTACTGAGCACACACGTGTAAGCAATGCCATTGACCACATTGCCCACTGTTTTAAGGATATCCTGAGGCTCTGTTGTCCCCAGGCAACGAATGGATCTCATCTCCCCTGGGTCAGCCCTAAAGGTCTTCAGAGTGGAGCCAAAGGTCAGAAGCACTCAGCAGGAACTCAGAGCCTGGATTTGGAAGAACTTGCTGTGATTGCCCAGCGTCACAAATTCTTCATCTGAGAAATCCGGGGGGTGGTTTGGGTTAGTTCATCTCTGTGGGCCTGTTCGGATTAGCTATTGCTTCCTGCACGCCTAGACAGGCTCGGGGTTGAGACTACCTATTCGAATGTACTGGAAGATGTTGACAGCTGAAGTTTTGAGGGTTTGGAAGTGCGGGCCTTACAGGTTAAGAACAAAACTTTTTTTTCTCCTTACTGTTTGAGGAGGGGATGGGAGTATCAGTCTGTGAGCCTAAGAAGGCGAGGGAAAGCGGACACCAGGAAGGGAGAGGCCCAAAGATCCAAGGCAGTCCTTGAAACATCCCCTTCGCTGTCCCGATGTGCAGGTGGTGATGCAAAGGCAATCTCACTACCCTATGGAAACCCTAGGGCGTGCTTAGTGCCCTAGGCGGAGGCACAGAAACGACCAGGGACCTAGGCGGGAGGTCGTCCTGCGTGGGGCGGCGCTTACCTTGCGGCCGTTCACGTAGAAGAGCAGCTCCTGGGCCGGGTCCATGGTGCAGCGTCTGCAGCCGCAGCCAAGCCGTGAGACTAAGTAGCGGCGGCCGCGGGGAGGGGCTTGCCAGCGCCTAAAGTCCATTTGCCCGCCCAGAAAGTTCTGCAAGAGCCAACTTTTCTGAGTTCATAACAGGAAGACCCTCTCCTGATAATTGCTTGTGTGCGGGCCCATCAGATAGGCTGAACTCTTCTGACACGGATGAGATTGACTCTTCCTGACCGCCCTACAGTCAGGCACAGCCTCTCTTGCCTTTCAGATACTGTAGATTCGGTGGCATATCTTTGGTATCCAGCATCACTGCATATTTCAACTGACTTTGCAGCTAGTTTGAAGTCCTCTCTCCCACCAGGCCTGCTGCAGCCTGTTAGGGGGTGACTGGCCTACTGGGGATGGAGCCCAGGGCCCCAAATGTTAGGCTCTCTCCTCTCCTACTGAGCAAATTACCACATTTATTCCAAACCCCCAGAAAAGAAGCCTAAGGAAAAGAAATGGTTTTGTAACTGTATTTTTTGGTTCTATGTTTATCCAAGTTTATTTGTAAAATCAAGAGCTACCCTGATCAAAGTTCTATCACCATTGACAATGTACCCAGTAATTAACTAGTAGAATATTCAAACCTCAGAAAAAATGATGAACTTCATTAGAGGTGGCCATAAAGGCATAAAACCATCAGAGTGGCCAAACGGCTCTAAATTGTAAAAGTACAAAGTTCCCCCAGTGAGCTAATGGCTGTAGATTAGAGGCCTGGCTCTGCTCACCCCTCAGTTGGTCACTCCCAAGCCTGAGAGAAAGTGTTTGTGGAGCCCACCTGTCTCCTCTAGAGCTATAGATAACACTCCTGCCAGTTTCTGGGGAAATAATCTTGAGAAGGAGACTCTCAATCACTCCAAGGACACCAAGCCTGGCACTAACTCAACTCCCCACTAAGTGCAGCTGTGGCCCACCACCCCCACGTCCCCAACCCCCTCTCCCTATCCCCTCCACTCCCCCTCCTACTTCCATCTTGCTTTTTTTTTTTAACATCCCACTGACTTTAAGTAGGGTGTTTGTGTGATCATGGGTGTGGTGTTACTTACTGGAGCAGGAAACTTACCAGTGGGTACACCACTCAAGAAGAAGGACTTTTCCTGGAGCAATTGTTGACTGCTAAGCTCCTCAGCTAGGGTGGGGCCCCATGATCCCAAACGCCATCTATAATGCTGACAGTTTGTCTTGCACAGGTCTTGTGTAGGTAACCCCAGCTCTCGGTCAGGTCAAGTCCAGGAGACAGCATTTCCCAGCACTCCCATCCTCTTGCTCTGACCTTCTTTCCTCTCTTCCATATGTTGAATACATACATACACGCATTTCCTTATACATTTCCTTATCATCTCCCAGTGACAAAATACTTCACATTTCATTTTTCTTTGATCTCTTTGAATCTAGAAGTCTCATCATTCTCACACATATCCTATTTTCATGATTTCCATTTTTATTTGTTGGTTGGTTTTAAGTAACTATACACATTTGTGGAGTGCAAATTGATATCTGACTCTTGTTTACAATGTATGATGCTCAAATCAGGGTAATTAGCATAACTATGGCCTTACATCTTTACCATTTATGATGAGGATACTCAGAATCCTTTCTTCCAGCTTCGCTATAATGCAGTTAACTAGATTTACCATTACTCCAGAAGGAACATCTCCTGTAGTATCCTACCTGACCAACCTTTCCCCAGTTTCAAGATGGCTGACTGCTGATTCCTGGTCCTACTAATTTTATATATGCTGGATACTGGGTCCAAAGCCTTGGTTACATTAAAGTTCCATTCATGTGTGGGGGTGGGGGGGAACACTTCATAGGCATATGATAGCATACCAGGGGCAAGTGGTACATGCTGTCTCATTTTAAGGTCAATATTCCTTCATAATGAATCTACCGACATTTCGCCTAATGATTCCATGTCCATTTTGAGCATCCAGAATTACTTTCCTGGGCTGTAAATTTTCTAATTCTAGCATTTCTTCTGATTTCATCAGATGTGATTCTTCTGAGTAGAACTAACCATCCTTTGCTGGAACTACTGACTGTGCAAAAATCAAATTCACAGACAGGCAAGATAAATTCATATTACTTTCTCTTAAAGTATAACTTCTTTTAATATTGTGTCTCCATCCCAGTAACTTTCAGTAGTTCCAATATTTTTATTATTTTTATTTTTTGTGAATTTCATATACTATGTTTTGATCATATTTAGATCCTCTCCCATATCTGCACCCCTTTCTAACCCATCAAATTGCTGTACTCTCTCTCTCTCTCTCTCTATATATATATATGTATAGAGAGAGAGAGAGAGAGAGAGAGGCAGAGCCAGAGCCAGAGAGATGGATAGAGACTCTCACCCTCTCAGCAACCAATAGTTCATCAGATAGGGTTGGCTTTCTTATCCACTTCCCCGACAATGCTCAGATTTTGTCTAGCTTGAGTTCACACAGGACTTATCTATGTTGTCATCATTACTGTGAGTTCATATGAATAACTGATCAGCTGTCTGGAAAACTCCCTTTCCTCGTGGCATCTACCTCTTTCCACCCCCAGTATTCAAAAAAAAATTTTTTTTTGTAAACTTTCTTTTTTTTCTTTTTGAGACAGGGTCTCCCTGAATCCCCAACTGCCCTAGAACTATGTAGACCAGGCTGGCCTCAATCTCATAGATCCGCTTGCCTCTGCCTCCTGAGTGCTGGGATTAAAGGTTTGTGCCATGATGTCTGGTTTTGACTTTATCTTTTGATCATCAACATTTCCCATAGCTAATGTGTTTTAATCAAACACAGTCCAATCACAGTCATCATTCTTAACGATTGTTTATCCCATCTTGAGCCAGTAGAAGTATCTTCAAATAACTGCTCTTTTGATAAAATCACACTTGTTCCTCTTAATTTTGTTGTTTTCCAGCACAGTAAAACGTCTCAAGACCATTTTGCTCATATCCTGCCTCAGTCTTGGCTTCAGCCATTTCTCCAAAGACCCCTGGTCCCTTGAATGGTAGTAAGATTTAAGACCATAATCTGAATGGTAGAAGTGTTCATTGCCAATAAATGTTTTTTTTCTAGGCATTTTTAGTGGACAAACAGGAAATAGTTTTTTAGAGGATAAAAAAGCATGAGCTCATATTGACATTTCTAATTAAATTTCAAGACTTAAAAGCAAACTTGGGTTCTCCCATGCTTGGTCAGTGGGGGAAAGGCGGGAGGTAAGTGCTCAGCCTTTCTGCTGTCCTTGTTTTCCTCTTCTGCATGCACCTGCTTCCCTTCTATTTGCTGTGATGAGGTGAAACAGCACAAGGCCCTCACTAGAAGCTGAGCAGATGCAGGTGCCACTTGGACCTCTCAATTCCAGAACCTTGGCCTAGAACAAACCTGTTTTCTTTATAAACTACCTAGTCTTGGATAGTCTGCTGTAGTAACAGTAAATAGATAAAGGTTGTTTTCAAATAAACTGCTACCCTATGATGGTTACTCAAATTGTTCTTTTTTGCTGCTCTTGTTTGTTAATACAAACCATGCCATAGTGACATTTTTTGCAAGAGAATTTTTTATATGAAGTGAGATTGTAGGAACAAATGATAAATGCATATGTAGTGTTGTTGGATATTGTCAAAATCTTTTCTAAAAGTTTTTTTTTTTAATTTATTCTTCCAGCAACATACAAAAAGCAACGTGATAACAAAAGGAAGGGTTGGATTATTAACCTAGATATTTGGGAGACCAGAGGGAGGGTACCTCTCTGTCACTGTCAGAACCTTAGGAGCCAGGAAAGGGGCTTTCAGGAGCTGGAGCTGAGATCCTTAGAGGAGAAGCAGGGAAAAGTCTTTTGAAAAAAGGCAGGCTGTAGCCTCTGATGGAAGGCCCAACTCAATCAGTGCTGTACTACGAGCCAACATGAGCCCGTTTCTAGGCGTGCTGAAGCCAGCTGGCAACTGGAACCAACTGGTGCTGCCAGGCAAAATGCCATTACTGGGGAGAAGCTGGCAAAGAAGAAACAAATTAAGTCCCTTTCCAACTCCTCTAGTGCCCCCTGCTGACAGAGGTTAAAAAGGTGTCAACTAGCAAAGAAATGGAGTTTTCAGTCTCAGCATCATATAGGAGGACCATGTAAGGTTAGGCTAAGAGCGGGGTCAATGGGCTGGGTGTGGTGGTGCACACCTTTAATCCCAGCACTTGGGAGAGGCTGGCAGATCTCTGTGAATTCAAGGCCAGCCTGGTCTACATAGCGAGTTCCAGGCCAACTGGGGCTATAGGGAGACCGTCTCAAAAAGACCAAAAAAAAAAAAAGAAGAGTGGAGTCAATGGTTGGGGGTGTATTCTTTAGACTTTACTGTTTTTCAAGGATTTCTCTAGTGAACAAATCTTGCTTTTACATTTAAAATGTTCATTCCCAAATATTATTTTTTTTTTAATCTAACTCCCCAAAAAGTGGGGTTTGTCCAAGGGTGGTGGCTCATGCCTCTGGTGGCTGAGGCAGGGGGATGGTGTATTTGAAGCCAGCCAAGCAAGTTCCAACAAGCCTGGATCCTGGATAAGCGCCTGTATTAAACAAAGCAAAAAGTCAAACAAAACAAACAACAAAATATGGTGTTTAGTCCATGAAAGCAAGGTTTCAGTACCAACAAACCATGAATGTTTTTGGTCAGATCAATGCATTTAAGAATAATCATAGATCACTTTTGTGCTGCTGATTATTAAAATTACTGTCTCAGACTCAAATCCACTTTTCTACTCTGCCTTAAGGCCAGGACTTTGCAAATCACCTTTCTCTTTTGCAAGGCTTCTTTTCCATACCCATCAACAGAAATATTAGAAACAAGCAGAAGTGTAGAGGGGAAAGAAACCTGCAGTTTTGTTCTGGCAGAAACGGTCATCCTGGCTGGCAGTAGCCACTGACTCCATAGCACCTGCTGGTTCCATGCTAGCAGACCAGTCTCATCATAACAACCTATTGCACACTCAGGCTCACACAGAGACATGGAGCTAATCCTCTAAGTCTTTAAGTTTCAAAAGTCCATCCTTTCTCCCTGGATTCCATTAGTGCCAGAGGTGGCACAATGAGTCATGTCTATGTTACTCCAGTGGGCCCCTTTGCCTTCTCAGTTCCTTAGTATATGGTCAACAGTAACTGTGGATTTTATCTATTGTCTGGGCCCTTATAAAATCTCTATTAATGCCAAGTAGCATTTGACAAATTCAATGCCAACTCACTTTTCAAAAAACATTCAAATAACAATAGTTTATAATTTAATGTGATTATAAGTTATGGTTTTATGGCCACAAAACCACCATATTCTTTAGGAATAAAACTAGAGGCATTCTCATGAAAATTAGAAGACAAAAATGCTATCTCCACTGCAAGCAAACATTTTATTTAAGGTAATAGCTACAATCAGACAAGAAAAAGCAACGACAGTTCTAAGAATCATAATCAAGGAAAAATAAAACTCCTTCGGTGTTATTTAGTTTTGGTTGACTTCAAAAATAATAAATTTCAGAGGTTCCACGGCTTGAGGAATACTAACTTAGCTATAGATGACAACTTTGACTAAAGCTGCCTAATACTTTAAAACTATTATCTTTTGTTATTTTTTTTCCCTGTTCTCCAGAAAGAAAATTGCCTTTGTTGATGGTTAACTGCAAGGTTAACTATTCTATAACTTTTCCCTAGACTTAAATAGCCAGGTTATCTGATCCTCAGACAAATCAAATTATGGGCCAAGATTTTTCTAATCTTGTTCTTTAGTTATGATTGGAATAATGTTTAACTTGCAGTGAAATGTGCTTCTATGTAATCGTTTAAATATGAAATATGCCCACAGGCTTGTTTTCAATATTTGGTTTGAAGCTGGTCGCACTCTTTTTGGGAGGCTGTGGAAGCTTTGGGAGGTGGCCTAGTTGGACAAAGAGGGTCACTGAGGGTGTGTCTTCAGTACTAGTGTTTCCTGTTTATCATGAAGTGAATCTTCTCTGCCACAGGTTCCTACCACCATGATGCCTGTCCAACTGCATGGCGTCAAGCAACCATGGACTGAGCCCACTGAAATGTGAACAAAACATATTTCTCCCCTTTAAGTTGTTCTATCAGGTATTTTGGTCATAGGGGTGTAAAAGAAACACACACATTACCTAAAAAATTATAGAGACTGGCCTAAGAGACAGAAGTTGATTACCACATCAAAGATTTCCTGGCAAAAGAGAAGCACAAGTCCAGGTTGGTGAGGACTGTTCGGTGTGTAGCAGCACCCTGCCCACTGTCCCCTTTCTCCTCCTTCCCTCCCTATAAAGCTGGGTTCCCAAAGACTGTCTTGTTTGGAGGATGAAAGCTGTCATTCAATCCCCCCATCTTCCTAAAGTTCCTGGCCTCCAATAAACTGATTTCTTTTCACCAGTTCATGTATTTAAATATTGGCCTTTGAGAAACAAGTAGAACTGAACTTACTTTAGTAACAGGATCATAAAAAAATTGTCAGATAGCTTGTTTTCAAGAAATATGTTCATTAAAAAAAACTATTATAAACAGTAACAAAATTTAGTACTTAACATACAAAAATCATAGTCTCCAGGGCACAACAATTAGGAGAGAGAACCAAGGAGAAAACTTCATTTATGCTAATCCCAAAGGATAAAATATCGATACAATTTATAAAGAAATGTGAAAAACCTATAAGGAAAATGTGAAAAATCTCTTAAAGACATAGGATTGGTCATAAAATGATTCATAATTAAGTAGAAGAGAGTAAAGAAAAAAGAAATTTAAGCACACATGGAAATATAACAGTAACTGGCAACAGAAACATGAGTTCTTAAACTAATGAATCACCTACAAAATTGTAAAATAACTACATGTATACCTCACACCACATACTGGAATAAATTCCATATCCAACTGAAATTTAAATGTAGGGGCCAACAAGATGGCTCAGTGTAAAGGCGCTGTTGCCAAGCCTCATGATCTGAGTTTGGTATCTGGGACCCACATAATAAGAGAGAAGTGACACCCACAGGTTGTCCTCTGACCTCCACATGTACCCCACCCCACACAAATAAATGTAAAATAAAATGTCTAAGTGTAAAAAAACAAAATAAAACCATGGGTACTTTTATAATCTAGAAAATTTTTTTCACTATGACTCTAACCATAAAATGTAATTCACATGAGGAAGAAGACAAATCTCATTTAAAAAAAGAAAAAAAAGCAATTCCTTTCCTGCAATAGTCTGTCAAACATGCCATTCTAGGACACTCCGATGAGGAACCACCTGAAGGGCTTGTTTTAGAAGTCCAATGCGCTATCCATTGTACAACAGAGCCACCTAGGGCTTGTGTTTTAACAGACAGATTACTGGGTCCATCCTTCATTGGTCCGAGATTGTCTAAGAAAGCTTTTACAACTAGGCCAGATGAAAGTTTGACTAATTATGTGACTGTAGTAACTGTGTAGTGATCTCAGATTTGAGTAGGATTATTCATCACTGGAATAGTAAGCCATCTGTAAAATAAAATCATAAAAACTAAGTTTAAAAGTTTCTGAAAATGGGCTGGAAAGAGGGCTCAGTGGTTAAGTGCTCTTGTGGAGGATTTGAGTTCAGTTCTCAGCACCCATGTCAGGCAGCTCATAACTACCTATAACTTCAGCTCCAGGAAATCTGACACCTTCTTCTGGACCCCACAGGCTCCTGCACTCATGTGTGCACACACCCACACATATACATATAATTAAAAATTAAATTAACCAGGCATGGTGGCGTATACCTTTAATCCCAGCACTCAAGAGACTGGTGGATCTCTGTAAGATTGAGGTCAGCTTGGTTTATATAGCAAGTTCCAAGCCAGCTGGGTACAGGGAGGAGACCCTATCTCAAAAAGACAACAACAAAAAAATTTTTTTTCTAATTAAACTTTAGAAAGAGAGAAGACAGGTTACTAAATAAGCCCAGAATTCCTGGTTTATTTGAGGGATGGCTCGGTGGTTAAGAGTGCTTGCTGCTCTTACAGAGGACCCGAGTTTGGTTCCCAGCACCCACCTTTGGATCCTCACAAAAGCCTAACTCCAGCTCCAGTGGATCCGACACCCTCTCTGGCCTCCACAGGTAGCTACACACGTGGCATTCAGTCACACAGACAAATACACATATATTAATTTTTAAAAATTTAAAAAATGTTAAGAAGTGCTTGAAAAGCTACTGCATTACTTTTCTGGTTGCTATGGCAAAATACCTGGCAAGAAGCAACCTAAGGGAGCAGGAGCTTGTTCCAGCTTACAGCTGGAGGGGCAGAATCCATCACGGTGCGGAAGGCATGGAAGCAGGAGTGTGAGGCAAATGGGCATGCTGCATCCACAGTCAAGAAGCTGAGATCAGTGTCGGAGCCCAGCTGGCTTTCTTTTTTGCATGTCCTGGGGGACATGCTGACATTTAGTGTGGGTCTTCCCACTTCAGTTCACCTCATTGAGAATGCCCCTCACAGACAGGCCCAGAGGTTTGTCTCCTGGGTGATTCTAATTCTGTCAGATTGACAATATTAACCATCACAGCTACCACTGCCCAAGTCATCACATTACATATATAAGAAGTGAGAAAGAAGTTGACACCTAAATATTTCTGAAAGCAGAACGGCTGGTAGAGAACACTAAAACTGGCCAGGGCAAGAGAGAACTTTCCAAACCCTCTTAGATGTTCATGTATACTGAATAGCTCAAAACCAAAACAAGATACTCTGACATACAGAATAACTAATGTGAAAGCATTAATACATTTTATTTGGTTAAAAGGGTAACAGTTGTTTAAAGGATATTAGGCAGCAACTTCAATTAACAAGGATATAAGTTATACGATAACCAAAATTATTTTAAAAGTTTGGTACTTGAAAATACAGCTATTTTATGTACATATACCTCAAAGTAACAATGGACAAACCAACATTCCATGAAAGGCCAAAAAAGGGGAAAACAACACAAAAACAACAAAATATTCCTTCATGGTCCATGTTCTTGATCCTAGTCACATTTCTGTTCTGACTGGAGTTCTGAGCACTCGGACAGAGTCCATATATCTACTTCATCTTCTCATCTTGCTGCAAAAGAGAGGAAAAAGGAAGATTAGCAATAATAATTCTAAACTAATGCTGCCTCGGCTGGTAAGAATGAAGAAAATTATTTCCAGTAAGCAGTTTATTTAATGACATGCTTTGCATATAGTTGAAACACTACTAGTCCAGGCTTTTCTTTACGGCTTTTACCACCCATGATTATGTTCCTGAAAATTACAGCCTTTGGTTTAATCTGCATTTAACCTCTATCTCAATGAACTCATATTTTTCTGTGACTTGCTGTTGCATTTGACATCTTGGTCATTTTCAAGCATCTCCTTAGGTGAAATGGTGAGCACGCTCACTCCATCTTCTGTGCCTGGCTCTGCTGCCAGTTGTTTCTGCTGGAACTGTGTGCACGTGTGTGGAGGGCATGTTTTTGTTGTCATTATTTTCTGGGAGCTAGCCCTTGGAACTTTAGCTGTGGAAAATGCAAGGAGGCCTGACATGGAGGAGAGCACCTTCAGAAAATATCTGCATTTGCTTACAAACGACACATGAACTGCAATTCCAGGGTTACTCATTCTCAGTCCTCAGCGTGCAGTCTTTTATATTTTCCAGGTATTTTTGTTAGGACTTCTCAGAATATTCTTTTTCTTCCCTCAGTTGAGGACTAGAGTTATTTCCTGGTCCGAAGAAACCAGAGGGAAGTTATTTTTAGTTTGCTGCTCTATTGAGAACAGCTCAACTTTGTTGAGAGGGATTTGCCTTTAACTCTTCATTTTAGCTAAGCCCTAGGATTTTGATTCTGTCCCCAGGCTTACAAGGCCGTGAAGCTTACAGCCAGGCTTCCCTTGTTAGACAAGTGCGGCCAGCAAAGGCCAGTTTCAGGCTCCACTCGCCTCAGCTTTACCTCTGCGGGTTCCTGCTCTCTTCTTTTTTTTATACTCCTATTTGCTAACTCAAGTTATTTTCAAGTTATTCATTCATGTTACTTTGTTTCTTGGTGTTTATCCACTATTATTACTTTCTCAGTAAGAGGGATGATCCACCCTCCTACCTCGTGCTATAGGTGGCACTGCATCTCTCTGCACTGTGAACTGTGCACATGTGTTTTTAGATGAAATGTATGCATATGGGCCCAAATTTAAAAGGCAGAAGAGGTAGCCGGGGAGCAGGTCTCTTTCTCGGCTGCAACTAACTCCTCTCCACAGACAGTGCCACTACTACTTTGAGAAACTAGAATTGATCATTTTTTTTAAAAAAAAAAATCACAATGTCCATTCCGTACAAATACTGAGTAAAGACAGCCCAGTGGCCACTTTCTTCTTCCATTCTCGGAAACAGAACACCGCAGCGTGTTGGTTTCAGGTTCCCCCTGCCCCCCAAACACCAGTATCCTGACTGAACTTGCTGCTGATAGAATGAAGAAGTAACCAGGGCAATGACACAATGCATTTTTAAGTATTATCTTTTAAGTCATGAAGCACTGAACATGACAAAGAGATAATTTTTAGTAGTAAAATCCACAATCCAAAATGAATATATAATTACCTTTTTTGTGTACTAACTACAAAATATCTTTCTGAAACAAAAACTAGAAGAGACACAGTAATGTCAGATTTCGATGTACCACATTTAGTACAAGAAAGATTAGGTGGACAAAAACCAAGAAGAGATGAAGCAGAGTACATCTTACAGATCTGTATCACTCACAGAACTGCACAGTAAACAACAAAGACACCATTCCTCACAACCGACACAAATATAAAATATGACAATATACTCTGTTAATGAGGTCATGGGGTGTGCATGCTCTAACACACTGCTAATGCACACTGGCACAATGAAAGATACATAACACCTGAACCTAACTGGAGTGCAAAAGGAACTAATTTTTTAAAATATTTTTATTTTTATTTTATGTGTATGAGTGTATTGCCTGCATTTGTGTAAGTGTACCCATGTTGGGCAATGCCCACAGAGGTCAGAAGAGGGCACTGAATTCCCCTAGAACTGAAGTTATGGATGGTTGTTAATCAACACATGGGTGTTAGGAATCAAATTCAGCTCCTCTGCAAGAGTAGCCAGTGCTCTTAAACACTGGATCATCTCTCCAGCCCTGAAAAGAACTAATTTAAAGCAAAAAATTTTGACCTAAATTCAGTTAGACCCTGTCTCAAAAAGACCAAAAAAAAAGTTCCCACAGGAATATGGACTAATAATTCTGAATTGAACAAACACATAAATATTTTTAGATAATGAAAACTAGGCTTCTCACTGATGAAGAAATTATGAGTTAAGCAAAAGAAATGTGCAAATTTATCCTGCAGTATTGGGTTAGAACTAAAGCAATTACATTGACTTTAATATAACTCATGATTTTTATCATATGTATAATACGTAGAGAAACATAAAGTGTATGTTGATGTGGGTTACCATACATGCATGTACTTCCTAGTGCTACCTACAAGAGGGTCCAGCTACAATCCCTGTGCTAGACAGACTACAAGGACATCACCCATAATCCCCATTTATTGGTATCCAAGCCTTTATAGAAGTGCCTCCCTCCCCTTGATTATAGGCAGGAACAGTCACTTGTGTCTAATAGAATGTGAAAAGGGAGAAGCTATCTCATTCTGAGAGTACATCTCATTATAGAAGAAAGACTATCTTGCTAAGGGATTCTGCTCTAGAGTTTCTCTCCAGAGAAGGCTTTGAAGTGGCCTTGTTGGGATAGAGGCCCATGTGTCAAAGGGCTGAAAACAACCTACAGCCAACATCAACATCCTAAGGCTCACTGTTCTACCCTCATAAGGAAATTAATTCTGCCAACAGGATCTTTTAGGAAAGCCTCTAGATAAGAACTAGAGTCTCTGATACCCCGAATGCAGTGCTGTGAGCCCGTAAGCAGAACACCAACTAGGCATTGCCCAGATTCTAATACTAACCGAGTGCTGTCTTAAGCTACTAGGTTTCTGGTAATATTGTTGTATAGCAATAGACAAGTAGCACCACATGATGAAAGCCATGAACATACCCAAGGCCCAGATTCTGGTTGCTAAACATAATTTTACAATCAAAGAAATTAGAATTTCTGAAGTGTCTGATCCTGGGGCCAAGGCAAGAAAAACATTGTGATGAGTCTAGAACATAGAATGTCTGTGGGGTCAGAAAGTAATGAAGAAGTCTAAAGTATTAAGTCTTGTTGAAAGGAATCAGAAGGAAATCTGAAGTAACCTCAATACTGAAGTTGGAATCACCTGAATAATGAAATAAAAGTTGACAGACTGGATTTTCATGTACAGAATAAAATACAGAGCTATTCATCCACACCAATATATTAGTATTAAATAAAGAGGGCCATCACTTCCTTACAGAAGAAGTAGAATACAGAGTCAGTAACAGTCTAACATAGCAGTATGGGTTGCAAGCAAGATTTACCAATGGATGCTAAAATCAATAAGCAAAAGTTTGAGACACAGGATGTAGAGACTCAAAGAATCTCCTCAAATCCTTTATTAAGGAAGTGCTAAAAATTTTATGGTCCAGAAACCTAGCAGACCCCATGGCCAAGGGACTGAGGTTAACCTCAGTGTAGCAGTAAGGGACTGACAATGAACCCTTGAAACAACAATGAGGACACAACCTTTATGTGAAATTCTTGCCAAAAATGCATAGTCCCAGGGTGATCATGAGAAAACATTAGAAAATTCCCAAATTGAGGTATATTCTACAAAATAACATGATTGAAAAGGGCTAAGGAACTGACACAGGTGTGAAGAGGTTAAGGAAAAGTAAAAACTAAACACAACATGGGGCTCTGCATAGTATTCTGAACAGAGAAAGGACATTAGTAGTGAACAAGTGGCCAAGAAGCACATGAAAAGATGCTCAACATCATTAGTCATCAGAGAAATGCAAATCAGAACCATAATAAGATACCACTTATATGCTTAAGAAGCTAGAATCCAAAGTCAAACAAGTATTGGTAAGGGTAAGGAGAAACTAGATCCTGATACACAGCTGACAGTAATGTAAAATAGCAAGGCACCTTAGGAAAAGAGTGGGGCAATTCCTTCAATGTTTAAACACAGAGTTAGCACATGACACAATTCTACTCCTGGGTATATGCTCAAAGAGAAATGAAAACATGTTCATGAAAAAACTTATACATGCATTTTCAGAGTGCCATTATTCAGAATGACAAAAACAAGGGAGGCAAGACATAGAAAGGAAATGTCAAGTGTGATCAAGAGGGCTAGAGAGCTGGCTCAGAGGTTAGGAGCACTGGCTCCTCTTGCAGAAGACCAGGGTTTGGCTCCCCGCACCCACATGGCGGCTGACAACCATTCTTAACCCAAGTTCCTGGGAATATGACATTCTCTTCTGGTCTCCATGGGCATTGCATGTACAGATGCACTTACATGCATGCAGTCAAAGCATTCCTACATATAAAAATAAATAAAATATGAATGCTTTGCCTGCATTAAAAAAGATCGAGATAAATACATAAGCAAAATATCGGTGTATACATGCAGTGGATACTGTTAGTCATAAAAAGGAATGAATCCTGGTACATACTACCATGGATAAACCTTGAAAACACTGTGCTAATGAAAGAAATCCATCATAATGACAGTACATTATATGCTTCTGGTCTTAAGAGATGTCTAGAATAAGGCTACCTAGAGACAGGAAGTAGCTGAGTAGCTACCCACAGCTCAAAGTGATGGGAAATAGAGCAAAGGTTATAGGATTTCTTCCTGAAGTGAAGAAATGTTCTAAACTGATTGTGGTGATGGATACACATATCTGTGAGGGGTTTTTCTTTGGTGGTGCTAGGAATTGAATCCAGGGTCCTGTACCTACTAAGTCTTATCTCTGAGAATATATTTAAAAAGAAAAGAAAAACCCACAAACTTCTACACTTTCCATGGGTGAAAATTTAGAACATATCCCAATAAATACATATCCTCTATATCTCTAGAAAGCTGTTTTTAAAAAGCTCTTGGTCCCCCCTTTTCTTCTTCCACCCTCCTATTACCTCCATCTGTTGGCTACTGCTTGAAAATACCTATCAAAACTATCAGGACTTCATAAAAGGAGCAAACATCAAAACAATGAAAGGAAAATTTGGGATAATTTTCTTCATCTTACAGAAAATGTGTGTACAATATCAGATTTTCTGAAATAGGCTTCTGATTTATCCTTAAAAACATGACATTTTGGCAAAACAATGCAAAAAGGCATTTGGGTATTTTTATAGTAATCAAAGGAATAGGAATTTGTTATTATAAGACAACTAAAAATTATTGATATTTTTGTTAGATGTGATAACTTTTACTATTTTAGGGATTAGACCAGGGCCTCATACATGCTCGGCAATCATTCTAACACTGATCCGTAACCCAGTCTTGCCTAATCTTGATGTGGTAACTTTGTTAAGAAAGTCCCATTTATTTATTTAGTGTGTGCTTGTGTGTGTTTGTGTGTGTGTATAGAGGACAGATGTCAGCATCGAATGCCTGTCTCAACTGATAAGTTTTTGAGACAGGGCCTCTCATTGACTGGAGTTCTCCAATTCATATAGACTGCCAAGAGCAAGCCCCCAGGATTGTCCTGTCTTGATCTCCCCAGCCCTGGGATTACAAGTGTATGCTTCCATGCCTGACCTTCATATGGGTTCTGGTGATCTGAATTTGGGTTCTCATATTTGTGAAAGCATTTGACTAAGCCTTCTCCCCAGTCCCAGAAAATCTTATTTTTTTAGAGACACATATGGAAGTGCTTTATGAATGAAATCATTCAGTGTTAGATTGCTTTAAAAACACAATAGATGAAACAAATACAGCAATGTTCATAGTTACTGAATGTGATGAACAGTCTTTCTTTGCTGGGGTATATGTAAAGTTTAAAAAAAAAAATTCAGGAAAAAGAATTGTATTCGTTGGGACCAAAGAACACAAACCACAGTGATTTCTAGGAAGCAAAGTAGGAAACAAACATGGGTAACAGATATGAAAATAATGGTCTGTAAATAGTAAGCAACAAACTTTTAAAATTATTGTTACCAACTAAAAGTTGTTACCAATGAAAAATTTTAAATGACAGTAGTAGGGTGGATGTTAAAAGAAACTCAATCAATTTAAATCCAGATCAAAAAGAAAAAAAATTTCTATTTCACCTCTACGAAGCTGACATGTGGCTGTTACATGTTACAGTGTCTGTTTTAGTGATGTTCGGAAGTACTCAAAGGCTAGTTCAGGCAGAACATCTACAAAGCATGACGCTTAAGAAGCACACCACAAATCACTGCAACACTTGCCTGTTGAGTTTCGGCTCTTTCAAATTGAGAGGGGCACATTTTCTTTTTCTTCTTGTCAGCTCTGAAGATGGATCTTCTGATTCATTTTCAGGTTTAGTGCAACTTGAAATAAAACTGGCTTCTGTCAAGTCCGGTAATGTTCTCCGACCTGAAAAAGATTTTTTACAAATATTTGTAAACATATATGTAGAGATATGGAAATAAATATGGGATAAACATGGTTCGCCAGAGAACAAATTTAAAACTTAACTATTGAATTTTGAGAGGAAAGGAGCTCAGAGTTTAAAATAAACCATTAAAGAAGCCTCTGACCCTTTAATTCTGAAATCACACATAGGCTACAAAGGTTCTTCGAAGCATGGTCAACTCTCCAGACCCATACCAGTCATTGCACATTCCTTCAGCACATGCATCATGGCTGCTTCCTGTGCAAGTCACTGTGAGGCACATAAAGATGAGGGCTGGTTCTCCAGTCCTCCAACATATCTTACCACCCAGACTCCTGGAATCCCTTTGACTTGGGTCCCTTTCACCTAGACTAGCCTTAGCCTAAGAATTCCAGTGTTCTACAGACCCACTGAAATGTTAGTTCTAAGCAGAAGATTTTTGACATAGGAAATGTATAATGTTACAAAATGTTATATGTTTATGAAGTATTTCTTCAAACAGATTCATAGACTCAAGTCTATGTGCATATGGCAAAGTGCTGGCAGCAATTCTCGGCAGGTTTTCTCCCATTTTATTTGATTCTCTACAATAAGTATTATTTTAATAACTGGGGAAAAAAATGAAATGTAAACACTAACAGCAAAAATCTCATCTAGCCATTACAATCTAAAATGTTATCTACTTGATAATATCTTTAAAGTTTCTTCTAATCAAAATTTCTCATTACATATCCTGTAGGTTTTGTCTGCTTTTATTAAAATTTACCCATATCATGGGGGCTGGAGAGATGGTTCAGTGGTTAAGAACACTGGTTGTTCTTGCAGAAGAGCTGGGTTCGAATCCCAGCACCCACATGGCAGCTAACAACTGTCTGTAATGCCAGTCCCAGGGGATCCGACAGCCTCTTCTGACTTCCATGGGCATTGCACGACACAGGTGCACTTACCTACATGCAGGCAATACACACACATAAAATACAAATTTTTTAAATAAAAAAAAAAATTTTAATTTACCCATATCATACACATGTATTCTGGGTTGGTTGTAATGCTGCTCTGATCACACTAAATATACATGCTGCTGGATCAAGATCCACCTTTAAGAAACTTGAGGCTGTCTTTGAAACCAGTGCAATCCCCTATTATATGCATTTAAACCATTTAATTTCCTTGAAACATGAGTAAAAGAAGTTAATGGCCTAAAGCCAATATTAGATTACTTTGTAGTAAAAGCCAAATCAGTTTTTAGGTTTCAAATGTCTCAAATATTCTGTTATCTTCTCAAAGTACTATAATTTCTTCCTGTTTCTATAGATGATGATCCATAACTGTATATTGTTTTAAAGATTATACAAAATGCCTGTTTTAACAGAAAATACATCACTGGTTATATGAAAAAAGTACAGTTCTAAAACTCAGCCTCTTTAGATGTGGACCTACCTACTGCCGACCTCTGTGTTCTCCGGCCTTTACAAGCCACCTCTTTTACTTTTTCATGTGCCTTGTCACTCACTGGAATGATGGCTATGCTTCCCAGGGCAAAATTTTCTTCTATCATCAGGCTTTTACTAGAAGAAATACTCAAAGATTTTGACCTCTCATGCACGCTGTCAAAAGGAGAATTTTGTATGTTAGGTGAACATATCTGAGATAACGGTTTAAACACCTTTGTGCAAAAATCTGGCTTAATCTTGGCAATTTTCTCATTCTCCAAATAGTTTTTCTTATCAGTTTGTTCAGAGTCAACTGACTTTCTGTGATCAATGTTAGGTACTGCTTCCATAACTTCATGGGTATCTGAAGAAAGATCTAGGAGGGTCTTTCTTTTCTTTGATTTTGACATTACTTTATTAACTTTTTTGGCTGGGCAGTTTCCTTCTTTTACCACCTCCAGAGAGAAGGCATCTGCTTGTGTTCTTGGAGTCACAGTGCTGTGCTTCTGGTTCTTTGGTAGGCTTGTCTGGTGTCTGGGATCAGAATCTGTTTCATTAGTAATATGTTTTAAGCCAGGGTCTAAAGTGATAGATGCCTGTGAAGAATCTGTTAATTGTAAAATAGGTCTGTTCTTACCTTGTGTCAAAATGTTCTCTGCTTTACCTGATTTTTTCCTTCGTTTTTTAACTAGTTTGAAAGAGCATGGAATCTGATCACAATTTTCCTTTTCATTACTGGTGATTTCCATACAGTACCCACTGATAACATCTCGGGATTCAATGTTATCTTTAGATTTGTTTACTTTTAAATCAAGATCTTTCACATAGCTTTTTTGGCCATTTGCATCTTCATTAATATTGTCATATATCTGGTTCATTTCAGAAATGACGTCTGTTCTACTAACTTTCTGCCTTAGCTTCTTACTTAATTTTGATTCATTTGGATGAGTAAGTGGCATATTAGTAACATGCTTCTTCAAACCCAATATACTCTGGGCCTCCTGGTCATAGAGATATCTGTTATCTTTACTGGCAACATCAGCTGTTTGGAGTTCATTTGTGACTTTCAGATTTTCTGAACTGGTTTCTTTATCCTCCTGAGTCAAAGAAAAGAAGTAATCATCTGGGTCATATACACTTTTGCCACCATTCTCATATATGTGGTTGATTTTAGAAATTACCTCTGTCTTTCGGTGCACCTTTTGTCTAAGCTTCTTATCTATTTTAGAATCATTTTGATAGGCAGGTTGCATATTCTGGACATGCTTTTTCACCCCCAGAACAGTTTGAGTCTCATTCCCAATGTCGTTGGTACAAAGAACATGCTTCTGAAACTCACTTAAATCTTCTAAGTTTCCAGGGGTGACTTCTCTAACCTTTTGTAGTAAGAAAGAGTTATCCTTTTCTGAACATTGCACACTTTTGTCATTATTGAAATGACTCACTCTAGAAATTATTTCTGTCTTCCGATTTACTTTCTGCTTAGAGTTCTTACTAGTTTTTGACTCATTTTGCTGAACAGGGTACACATCAGTGATCTGCTTCTGCAAACCCAACACATTTTGGTTCTTATCATCATGTATGTTTTCGTTATTTCTTGTGAAAAGAAGAGGTATTTGAAACTCTTTTGCAACTTTTGGGTTTGCAGACATGGTCTCTTTATTCGTTTGGGTTTGGGTGGAAAAGTTACCTTTTTCTAGCACATGCATATCTTTATCATCGTCATATATTTGGTTCATTCTAGAAATTATTTCTGTCTTCCGATTTATTGTCTGCTTAGGCTTGTTTGTTTTTGATTGATTTTGCTGAGTAGGTTGTGTATCAGTGATGCACTTTTTCAAATCCAGCACATTCTGGGCTTCATAGTCACATAAATTTCCGTTATCTCTAGTAAAAGGATCAGCTGCTTGAAATTCATTTGCAACACCTAGATTTTCAGAAACAGTGTCTTTATCCTTTTGGTTTGGAAATAAGTTACCTTTTTCTGACTTAGAAATCACAAATGTCTGTCGAGAAGACTTTCTTATATTATAGCTTAGGGTATTCTGACGCTGATCAAATTTACTCTCTTGAAGGAATTTATCTGAACATTGGGATAAAGAGTCTGTTTCCTCTTGCTTATTTGTCATAAGCATTTGCTTCTTTTTACTGCACTGTGTGTTCTGTCTGTCATCCTGATCAAAGCCGTTCTGAAGGGTTATTTTCTTCAGTATGTTTGCCTGAGTCAGCTGTTGAGTATTGGAAAGAAAATTTGGATCTTCTGAATCCCTTTGGCCGTCTAGAACAACAGATCCTCTCCCTAGTCTGTTTTCAGTCTTTTCCTCAATATCCACATCTGAATGATCTTTATATTTTCTCTTTGATTTTTCTCTCTTTTTCTCAGAGGTTGGGTCTTTCACTTTTCTGAAAGTGTCCTTTCCACAATTAGTATTTTTCTGACTTTTATTTTTACTGCTTTTTGAAACTGTAATGATTTTGCTTACTTCACTAGCAGTTAAATCCATGTCAGCATCTTCATGCACAGTTTTTTGAAACTCAAAGTCATCAGTATCCTGTCCTTCATTCATGCATGCTACATTAGGGTTACTGACAGACTCAGAAGGTAGGTCAGGAAAGCATTGTCTATTTCTTTGCATTTTACTATTGTTTTCATTAGTACAATCACTTATTTCATTATTCCGACTTAATCCTAGACTTGAAATCTGTTGGTAATCTAAATCTGCCACACAGGGAACATCTGCAACAGGATTATTTGACTCCCAAGAAGACCCACGCTTCTTCCTTTCCGTCACATTATTAAGAAACGATTTCTCCCTTCTGCAGTTTGTAGATGTGTCAATTTTCATCTCACTCACTAGAGAACTCTTGGAACTTTGATTTGAGTGGTAACAGCTTTCTACAAAATAAAAATAAAATCCAGAAATAAGCAATAAGCAATGAACAAAACAGATATTAAGCCATTTCCTAGAGAAGATGTTTGGCAATCAGTTCTGTTCAGATCCTTTACTAAGAATCTGTGCTGATTTAAAAAAAAAAAAAAAGAATTAGGGGGCTGGAGAGATGGTTCAGCGGTTAAGAACACTGATTGTTCTTGCAGAAGACCTCAGTTCGAATCCCAGCACCCACATGGCAGCTAACAGCTGTCCATAACTCCA